GCTTTCTAGCTCAGCCTCTCCAGGGTACCCTGCCCTTTATCCCCCTGCTCTGACCACTGCCCCTCACCCTACCCCCCACCCCAACCTCCCTGGCTCCTGTCCTTTTCCCTGGCCTCTGCCCCTCATCCTGCCCCCCTGCTCCCCTTCCTCTCTCCCACCCCCCTCCCTTTTCTGTGCCCCTCACTCTGCCCTGAGCTTTCACCTTGTGCTGTGATCGTCACTCTACCCCCTGAACCTCACCCTACCACCCTCCCCCTCCTCCCCCCCCCACCCTGTGCTGTAATCCTTACCCTGCCCCGTGAGCCTCACCCTACCCACAGACCCTCACCCTGCCCCCACCCAGTGCTGTGATCTTCTCTGTCCCCCCTGCCCCCCCCCCCTCCCTAGACCCTGGCCTTCCCAATGCCCATTGCCCCTCACCCTGAGAGTGTATCTGCTGTTATTTGTGTCCTGTCTGGAACATAGCTGGACCTTATCAGCATCACCTGAATCTTTGTCTGCAGACAGGCATTATTGAGATTGCCTTTAATTCCAATAATCTTACTTAAGGCTCATGATCCATCCTGTCCTGGAATTTCAGTCCCATGAGGTAGTCTGTGAACGTTTTATCTGCCCAAGTTACTGCTAACACCTCCTTCTCTATGGTTATTTACCTCTGTTCAGTCTCGGTCAAAGCACTCGACATAGAACAGACCAGTTACTGTGTTCTGTCAGTCCACATTTGTAAAGGAACAGCTCTCAGTCATGTGGGTGATGTACCTGGAGCTACAGTAGTGAATTGGCTTGGACTATAATGTGCTAAAACATCAGCAAGATGTAATTTCTTTCTGACACGGAGAGAGGATTGGCTAACTGGCAGAAGGCAGAGAGTGGGGATAAAGGGGTGTTTTTCAGGATGGCAGCCAGTGACTAGTGGAGTTCTGCAGGGATCAGTGTTGGGACGCCAACTATTCATTGAGGGCATTGTTGCTATATTTACAGATGACAGAAAGGTAGATGGGGGGACAGGTAGTGTTGAGGAAGCAGGGAGGCTGCAGGACTTGGACAGGCTAGGAAAGTGGGTAAAGAAGTGGCAGATGGAATACAGTGTAGGAAAGTGTGAGGATATGCACTTTGGTAGGGAAAATAGAGGCCTAGACTGTTTTCTAAATGAGAAAAGGCTTTGGAAGTCTGAAGCACAAAGGGACTTGGGTATCCTTGTTCGGGATTCTCTTCAGGTTCACATGCTGGTTCAGTTGGAAGTTAGAAAGACAAATGCAATGTTAGCTTTCTGAAGAAGGGTCTAGGCCCAAAACGTCAGCTTTCCTGCTCCTCTGATGCTGCTTGGCCTGCTGTGTTCATCCAGCTCTACACCTTGTTATAGCAGAGATGTACTACTGAGGCTTAATAAGGCTCTGGTCAGACCGTATTGTGAGCAGTTTTGGACCCCATATCTAAGGAAGGATGTGCTAGTGTTGGAGGGGATCCAGAGGACGTTTACAAGAATGATGCTGGGGATGAAGGGCTTGTCATATGAGGAGCGGTTGAGGACTCAGCGTCTGTACACGATGGAGTTTAGAAGGATGAGGGGGGATTTGATTCAAACTTACAGAATACTGAGAGGCCTGGATAGAATGGACGTGGAGAAGATGTTTCCACTGGTAGGAGAGACTAGGACCCCGGGGCACAACCTCAGAGAGAAGGGATGAGATGAGGAGAAATTTCTTCAGCCAGAGGGTGGTGAATCTGTAGAACTCATTGCTGCAGAGGGCTATGGAGACCAAGTTATTGAGTGTGTTTAAGGCAGAAATAAATAGGTTCTTGATTAGTAAAGGGATCAGGAGTTATGGGGAGAAAGCGAGAGAATGTGTTTGAGAAACACATCAGACATGATCGAATGATGGAGCAGACTTGATGGGTTGAATGGCCGAAATCTCATCCTATATTTTACGGCCTTATGGTACTTTTCATTCTTTCTAAAGCTGCAGTCTGTTCCTGATTCCAATACCATTGCTGGCCTTTTTACAAAAACTCACTGTAGGGTTGGATAAGGCGGGGATAAACTTTCCAACGTGACTCTCTGTGCCTAAGAAATGCTATGCACTACTTACCACTTCAGTTTTCGTACTTTTGTATCCGAGTTTCCAAATAATATTAAAAGTATACTATGAGCCTTCATCACAAGGAAAAAGATGCTGTTTTGGGGCCTACCCATCCAACTGTGTTAGACAAATCCCTGATGTTTGCTTGTAGGACTATTGGATTTTGAGCCCTGACTCAAATTGTATTTCTTGCTCCACCATAAAATCCTCCTTAGGTTGAAAACAGTCTGTTAATTCTTCGTCATTTATCCGGTCTCTTTGCAACAAGACCTGGACGAGATCCAGGTTTGGGCTGAAAAGCAGCAAGTAACATTCGCGCCACACAAATACCAAGCATGTCCAATAAATATGGAGCTGGAAAGGCACAGCTGGTCAGACAGCATCCCAGGAGCTGGAAAGTCAATGTTTCGGGCTGAAATCCTTTGTCCTGATGAAGGGTTTCAGCCTGAAACATTGACTTTCCTGCTCCTTGGACGCTGTCTAACCAGCTGTGCTTTTCCAGCTCCACGTTTATTGGCTCGAGCTTCCAGCATCTGCCGTCCTTATTGTCTCCTAATGACCATGTCCAACAAGAAACCATCACACATTTGACTTTCAATGGTGTTACTATTGCTCCAACTCCCACTATCAACTATTTAGGGGTTATCATTGACCAGAAGAAGAACTGGATGAGCCATATAAAATTGGCTACAAGAGCTGTTCAGAGACTAGGAATCCTGTGGTAACTCATCTCCTTACTGTCCAAAGCCTATCCACCATCTACAAGGCACAAATCAGGAGTGTGATGGAATACTCCCCACTTGCCTGGATGAGTGTAGCCCCAACAACACTCAAGACATTCGACACCATCCAGGACAAAGCAGGCCGCATGATTGACACTGCATTGACCACCTTCGATATTCACTCCCTCGACCACTGGTGCACAGTAGCAGCAGTGTGTACCATCTACAGCTAATAAACTGCAGAAATTTGCCAAGGTATCTTCAATAGCTCCTGCCCAAAGCCACGATCACTTCAATCTAGAAGGGCAAAGGCAATGAAGGAGTGGGAACACCACCACCCATAAGTTCCTCAACGAGCCACACACCATCCTGACTTGGAAATATATTCCTTCAGCTCCTTTGGTGTTGCTGGGCACAACTCCTGGAGCTATTCCCCCCACCCCAAAGACCAAACAGCACTGTGAGCATCCGTACACCCCAAGGACTGCAGAGGTTCAGAAGACAGCTCGGGAATACCTCTACCAAGGCAATTAGGCATGGGCAATAAATACAGGCCCAGTCCATAATATCTACATCCCACAAAGGAAAGAAAAATGCCAAATGACTATCAGGAATAAACAAGGGTCAAGATTTCATATTTTAAGACCTTTACTGTAACAAACAACCCAATATCAACATCAATCAAACATTATTAAACAAATGCATCAAACCAAAGAAAAGCTACTCATATTAGCTAATACATGCCCTCAGGACATAGTATACATTACCTTTACTGCATACCTCACTCAACTAGATGCATCCAATTTGAAGAATAAGTTACTTCCAGCTCTCCAACAGTCTCACTACTCCCTCACACTTGGTAGAAGTTTTTCATGATCTCTGTTCCACTCAGCCTGGGTCTTTACAATCGGGATTCCACCAGTAAAGCTCACCTCAGGCAACTCTAATTCCCTAAATCCTGTAGGTTCTGTCCCCTTTGTATCGAACAGAAAAGCATCTCTCATAAGCATCCTGCTTGTTTGTTATTGCAGAACAGTCCCTTCTCCATTATCTAGTAAACGTACTTGTCCTTTACCACTGGGCCCCTCAAGGCAGCTCTCCCTTTCTGAGTTACCATGTGTCGGGCCAAGAACTGGTACTTGCTTTCAATAAGCTTATGTGTAGCTTCAATTCCATAGTAACCAGACCACATATTCATGCCTCAATGTTTCTGAAATTCCTAATGTTATCGTAAATTAAACCGGTAAAGGGCAGTCACTGGTGTTTCCCTGATATGTTTCTCGACTCCATTCTCCTGCCTTCTCCCCGTAACCCTCCATCCCCATTACTAATCAAGGACCTCTCTATCTCAATCTTAAATGCACTCAATGACTTAGCTTCCACAGCCCTCTGCAACACTTTGTTCACTTTGTCACACTATCAGTAGCTTCTTCCATCACTTTATAATTTAATCCTGCATTTCTCTGGATCTACTCTCAATCTATTCTACATTATTCTAGTTCTGCTCCTGGTCTAAGGCTGCGCGGTTTGGGGTGCACAATCGGAATTTGGTCAGAGTGTCGCCTGTTGTATGTGATGTGAAATGACTACACTCCGAAAGGCCATACAGGTCCTGTTAGTGTGAATGTCTTTTCCACTAATTCTACCACCATAATCCTCATTCCTGTCTCCCTTATAAACTGAGCTTTTGACTAACAACGAGGCTCCTGAGCTTGTGAATCTAGCTTCTCTTTTTAATGGGGCACCCAGCGAGTCCACAACATAAGCAGAATCCTAACCACTGTCCTAGAATCACAGGAATTTGCCAGTGGGAAATATGGAACCATCTTCACACACCTCCAGTCAGAAAGTGAATCCAAGTTGACACCATCTCCACCCTGACTTTCTGATCCAGCATTGGACTTACTAGTGGCCCTCTCAGCCTGAGGGGTTAAGACATTAAAGAAAATACATCTGGACATTTGCTGTACTCCTTGCTGCTTGCTAGTCAGGTTTAAGTGAGACCTGGGTCTTTACATTGGGTGGATAATGTGGCCTGTTCACCCCTAGATCGAGATCCAACCAACACAATGCTCACATCTTCATCCAAAGATCAAAATGAAGTCTCTGGGTCCTAATTCATTCACTCAGTTCCACTATCCTGAACTTGTTGCTTCTAAACAGCTGAACAAACATGGGGGAGTTGGACAGATAGGACTCAAAGAATTAAAGAATTTATTCACAATTTCCCTTCACGACTCTCACAGCAAGCTTCAACATATCTTACAGTTTTGCCAGTGCATGTATTGAATGTAGTGCTATTATCAACAAACCAAAATCACAAACCCCAAAAAGGAAGGAAAACTTCACAATCGGTACCATTCGGAAAAGCAAAAGTTTGTTTTGGGTTGAAAAATGTCAGTCTGCAGGACCAGGAACTGGGCAGGCTCAGGGCTCAGGTTAGTGCCATTTTTGACATCACTGTCATGGAGAGAGCTGAAATGTGTCCTCTTTGAAATCGGCTCCTTCCTGCTCATGTAATTCCAGTTGTTCCAATTTGTCTGGTTTGTGGGTGATTTCATCTGGGGTCTTCAGGAACCTGTGTAAACAGATATGGTTAGGGGGGTCACACTCGGAGCTTTCAGTTGGAAACAGGCAGATGCGAGCTATGGGGTTGAAATACAGTCTAGGGAAAGGAGGAAAATTTCAGGGCAGTATACCGCAACTTTGGAACATTCATGAACAAAGAAAGGACAACAGTTTGAAAATACTATCAGCTCATCAATGCTGTTCCTTCCTAGTCCATTGTCCATGTCCCCTCCATCATGGACACTTCCCCATTTTATCATCCCACCCCCCCACAGTCCATGGACAATCACATATTAATTATGGAACAATTTTCCCCCAAATGGTTTGGTATGAGTGACATTTTTTTGTGGTAAGATGGGCGAGGTTGGATTTTTACTGCTTTACTGACAATGTACATGATCTCAGAGCCATTATGTTCAAGATAATCCTCACAGCAGAAGTGATCCCAAATCCGAGAACAGTAAAGAGCTAGTGAGATCCAGCAATCACCAGGACACCTTCCGAAAGTCACTGCTGCTGTGATTTCATCTTTGACCACGGAATTGCAACATTAAACACAATAATGTTCCTTACAAATACTTCCCACTATGAAAGCTACCAATCAAATGTGATGATGGTTCACTCCTCACTTTGAGTATGGCCCAGAGAGTTGTCAGCTTTCTCTCCCTATCCCTCCCAATGTGCTTCTTATTGCGTGGCTCCCAGCTTTCACTGTCAGATGAAACTGGTTGATAGATATCATGACAGCTGGTGCCAGTGTGATTGTAGCCTACATGTTCCCATTGTATGTTCCTGTTGTGAGGAGATGTGCCTTTAAGAGAGATTTGTTCTGTCCTGTTTCTCTTGAAGAGGAGTGTTATAATAAACCTCGCCGAGGTTTCTGCTCCATAGAAAGCAGAATAAATAGTTTTTAAGGTTTCTTTTTCGATTTGACAAAAGAAGCATGAGTGGGTGGAACCAGGCTTGCACAAACCCAGGATTTCAGTTTTGCTTTCAGTTGTTGAAGTTGGGATGTTGGGAGTTGAAGCTGCTAGATACAACTCTCTCGCTGCTGCTGCAGAAGTGAGTTCTCTCTCTGCTGCTAGATTCATTCTGTCAATGTTCCTTTACCTGGACTGGAGGAGATCGCAAGTGAGGGAATTTTGCTGAATTTGCCTTTGCCAAGGCTGTGTTTATGGGATGCTGCTATAGTGGAATAGTGGTAGTTAAATAATATATTGTTTTGTTAAGTATTTTGATAGAATTAAAGTTATGCAAATTCATTTTTTGTTTGTATTTTAACTGTGGTGTAAGGGTAAAGTGTTATTTGCTTAAAGCCTAGTACTTTGACCGACTGAATCACATCTGGAGCACAGCGCCTTACACCTACCTTTAAATAAAGATAAAAGTTAGGGTTTAGGCTATCTCCTTGATATGGTGTGATGACGTTTGGTCTGGTCTCTAATACTGTGCAAATCCTTCCTACCTGGAGCATGTATCTGGAAATAGCATGCAGAAAGTTCATTATGTTTTCACCATCTGTCTTTAACTGAAGAGCCAATTGAACAGGTGGATATTCGTGAACTATACCCAGGTAAGTTTCCTACATTGGTACCAACACATACGTAGAAAGCACACCCGGTGAGTGTTAACCTACTCGTTTAGGAGGCCGGGTAACTTGCATAATCTTTAAATCAACTAAAGCAGTGTATAATCCCTCAAGCCTATTAGAAACTCATGGAGATGTCTAGATTGAAAATCTGATTTAGTACATTATTGTTAGCCGAATGTGGACATCTCCCTCATATCTCAAAGATATTTTTACTTGAAGCCTTTTCCAATACAGATTGAAGACTGGAATGCTTTCGGTTTATTATTGCTCACTGTGTGACAGCTGCGATGTTACTGGGGGAGTGAAGAGATGTTGGGTTTTAGTGAGGTGTGGTTCACTCTGGTCTCAGACTCAGAAGATTGTGAAATCATGGAGCCCACCAGGGCTCGAGCACAGAAATGAAAACCTACCCTCCAGTGGAGCACTGAGGGGGTGCTGCACTGTTGCAGGTGCCATCTTTTGGAACAGAAGGTGAACTTAGGTCTTGGCTGCCCTGATGGGTGAATGTAGAAGTAGCCACAGCACTATTTCAAAGATAAGCAAGGCGAGTTTTCCCAGGCAATATACACATACAAATACACATAACTGCTCATTATCACATTGCTGCATAAATTTGTTTCCTACATTTCAACAGTGACCACACTTTAGAAGGATTTCATTGGCTGGGCATCCTGCAGTTGTGAAAAGTGCTATATATAAATGCAAGTCTTTTGAAAGGAGGGTTCAGTTGTTAGGAGCTAGCTCTGTCCCACACGATCCTGCCAGTCCAATCCCAGCCTATTGCCCAAGGTTTGGTGTGCATGTTTTACTGAATCATGCAGCTCCATTTCCTAATTTACAGAGAGGACGTCTGAGTGAGAATGGGAAAGGATTACCTGGGCAAAAAATGTAACTGTGACCCGATGGTTACTGTGACCCCGAACACTCGGTAAAGACGGTGAGGCTTACCTGAAGATCAGTTTCTGGCCGGGCTCCTTTCTGATGATGTTCAGTTTATAATAGTGCCGTAGAGCTCTTGACATTTTCTCGTATGTCATATTCGCTCGGTTCTGAGTGGAAGCGGAAACAAAATCTTTTTAAAACAGAGAAACAGGAAGACACACTGCCCCAGGTAACTCAGAGGCACACCCTATATCAAGCTCTCCAGCAGGTTCTATTAACAGAGGGCCAAACTGTGGCTTGTATTGCGTGGAGTTCTTTAGGAAGGTAGGAGCCCAGTGCAATAACTTCTTCAGACTTGATAAAGATACAGGACAAGGCCATTCAATCCCTCAAGCCTACTTTGTCACTCAGTTGGAACCCTGACTCCATTTTCATGTCTAGGTTTCACATTCCTTACATCCTTCCTAAATAAAAAAATTAATTTCAGTGCATTTACACTAGTGATCGCGTATACTACTCTACCCATCAATTTCATCTCCTTCCAAGGTTCCTCCTTCCTCTTGCATCCACTCACTCGAGGTAGCAGTACAGCAAAACAGAGTTTGGAGGGTGTCCTCAACTTTGACTCTAAACCTCAGAGTCTCAGTCATCAGGGCAAACATGGGCATAGAAATTTGCTGCTGACTGCTACCCCTCAGCTGGTGAATCAGCCCTCCTCCATTTTGAACACGATGTGGTAGAAGCACACATGATGGTGGTGGCACACAACGTACTCAATGTGGCAATTTCAATGTCCATCACCAAGACGGACTTATAGCACCATGACTGACCAAGTCCATGGACTGGGTCTGCGCGAGGTGGTGACATAGCCAACCAAAGGGGAAATCTGTTTGACCTTGTCCAGTCGCAGCAACATCTGCCCATTACAGCACTGGCAGGAGTGACCACAGCACTGTCCTTGCGGAGACCTTCTTTACATTGAGTATACCCTATCACAATGCTAAATGTAATCATTCCAGAGAAGATCGAGCAACTGAAGACTGGGATTCCTTTAGGTACTGAGAGCCATCGTCATATTCAACAACAATCTGTAACCTCATGCCCCTGTATATCCCCCACTCAACCATTACCACCAGACCAGGGGATCAACCCTGGTTCAATGGAGAGTGTAGGAGCACATGCCAGGAGCAGCACAAGGCATACCTAAAACTGAGGTGTCAACCTGGTGAAGCCACCAAACAGGACCTGCTTTCAGGCAAAACAGCATAAGCAAGTGACAGACAGGGCTAAAGGATTAAAACCCGACTGGGATCTAAGCTCTGTGGTCCTGCCACATCCAGTCATGAACAGTGATGGACAATTAATTTACTAGAGGAGACGGTTCCCCAAATATCCCCATTCTCAATGAGGGAACAGCCCAGCACATCAGTGCAAAAGATAAGACTGAAGCTTTCACAGCAATCTTCAGCCAGAAGTGCTGAGTGGATGATCCATCTTGGCCTCCTCCAGCGGTCCCCAGCTTCGCTGATACCAGTCTTCAGCCAATTCGATTCACTCCACATAATATCAAGAAACAGCTACATGATGATGCTGTGACTTTAAGAGTTATTTTGTCCTGGCTTTTATTAAGAGAGATTAAACAAGACGTGTTGAGCTGTCTTTAAGAAAGTAAACAGCCTGTGAGGCCTTGAGTTTTTTTTGAAGTTGGAACAATAGAGGCAGCCTGGCTGGGTGTGGCCAGCTCTCACAGACCAAGCTTTCTCATGTTTTGTTTTTGTTTTTAGGTTTAGCTATAAGCAGTTGCTGTTGTGGGCTTGAAGAAGTCATGTTGCGTTTTTACAGGATGGATATTGGTGAGGGCTCTTCTGGAATACAGTGTCCAGTTTTAGTTGCCTGATTAAAGGAAGGATATTATTAACCTGGAAAGGATTCAGAAGAGATTTACCAGGATGTTGCTGGGTATGGAAGGTTAGAGCTATAAAGAAAGGCTGGGACTTTTTCTACTGGAGCACAGGGAGTTGAGAGGCGACCTGATAGAAGTCTATAAAATAATGAGAGATACAGATAGAGTTAATGGTAGTTGTCTTTTCCTCAGGATGAGGGATTTCAAGACTAGGGGACATATTTTTAAAGTGAGAGGAGGGAGATTTAAAGAAGGCCTGAGGAGCAATTTTTTTTACATAGAGGGTAGTTTACATGTGGAAGGTACTTCCTGAGGAAGTGATGGATGCAGGTATAATTACAACATTTAAAAAGAAATTTGGATAGGTACATGAGTAGGAATTATTTGGAGGGATATGGGCAAGCAGGTGGGATTATTTTAGTTTGGGATTATGGTGGGCATGGACTGCTTGGACCAAAGGGTCTGTTTCCATGTTGTATGTCTCTTTAAGTAGAAGTTTTTTTTTTCCATCTCTCAGTTACAACTAGAAGCTGGGGTTTCTCTCTGCTGCTACCTTACCTTTGAGACAAATCTATTTTTCTGAATTTGCCTTTTTGCCAAGGCATATGTTTATGAGACGTTACTATAATGGAACAGTTAATTAGTAATAGTTACTGAATCTAATAGAATTACATTATTCTAAATTCTTCTTTCTCTGGTTTTATTTTAACTATAGTGTTTAAATAAATTGTGTTTTGCTTAATGCTGCATAGTTTGACCAATCACATCGAATCTGGAACAGGGCACTTCACATTTGCCATTAAAAATGTGAAAAAGTTAGGGTCTAGGCTACCTTCTTATAATATTTTGAGGGGGTCTGGTCTGGTCAATTACAACTAGAAGCACTGGACATTGCAAAGGCTACAGGCCCTGACAATATTCCGGCAATAGTACTGAAGACTCGTGCTCCAGAACTTGCTGCTTCCCTTAGCCAAGCCGTTCCAGTACAGTTACAACACTGGCATCTAACCGACAATGTGGAAAATTGCCCAGGTATGTCCTGTATATAAAAAGCAGGACAAATCCAACCCGGCCAATTACTGCCCCATCAGTCTCCTCTCGATCATCAGTAAAGTGATGGAAGGTGTCAGTAACAGCGCTATCAAGCAGCACCTGCTCAGCAATAACCTGCTCAGTGACGCCCAGTTTGGGTTCCCCCGGGGCCACTCAGCTCCTGATCTCATTACAGCCTTGGTTCAAACATGGACAAAACAGCTGAATTCCAGAGGTGAGGTGACAGTGACAACCCTTGACATCAAAGCTACATTTGACTGAGTGTGGTATCAAGGAGCCCTAGCAAGACTGGAATCAATGGGTACCAGAGGGCAAACTCTCTGCTGATTGAAGTAATACCCGGCGCATAGGAAAATGGTTGTGGTTGTTGGAGGTCAGTCATCTCAGTTTCAGGACATCTCTGCAGGAGTTCCTCAGGGTAGTATCTTAGGCCCAACCATCTTCAGCTGCTTCATCAATGACCTTCCCTCCATCATAAGGTCAGAAGTGGGGATGCTCCCCGATGATTGCACAATGTTCAGCACCATTCGCGACTCCTCAGATACTGAAGCCGTCCATGTTCTGGACAATATCCAGGCTTGGGCCTACAACTGGCAAATAACATTTGCACCACAAAAATGCCAGGCTATGACCATCACCAATAAGAGACAACCTACCCACTGCCCCTTGACATCCAATGGCATTACCATCCCTGAATACCCCACTGTCAACATTCTGGGGTTACCACCGACCATGAATTCTACTAGGATCACTAAATAAACACAGTGGCTACAAGAGCAGGTCAGAGGCTATGAATACTGCAGCGAATAAATCACCTTCTGACTCTCCAAAGCCTGTCTATCATCTATAAGGCACAAGTCAGGAGTGTGATGGAATACTCCCCACTTTTCTGGATGGGTGCAGCTCCAAGCACACTCAAAAGGCTCAACAGCATCCAAGTCAAAGCAGCCCGCTTGATTGGCCCCATATTTACCACTTAAAACATTCACGCTCTTCACCAGTGACGGCCAGTGACCACACTGAGTATATGTGACCAAGGCTCTGTCAGCAGCACCTTCCAAGTCCATGACCTCTACCATCTAGAAAGATGAGGGCAGCAGGTACATGGGAACACCAAAAATGCGTGTTCCCTTCCATACGCCATCCTGACCTAGAAACATATTGCTGTATATTCAGTGTCACTGGATCAAAATTCTCTGCTCCTGACACACCAAGGACTGCAATGATTCAAGAAAGTGGCTCCAACTTCCAACATCACCTCCACTAGGGCAATTAGGGCTGGGCAATCAATGATTCAGTTAACTAGCAGAGCAGACTCAACAGGGAATGGGTATTATTGTTCCATTGCTATGGGCACTTTGGATGACCTTAAGCTAACACAATGGTTCCCAATGAAAAGCATTTGTTGAAGACACAAATGGTATCCAGGTGAGGTTTATCAATGAAGATTTGTAACTTTAGATTGAAAGCCAAGCGAATGTCTCTTTCCCAAAGAGAGGCCAATTTGTGTCGAGACAGGATTCCCTGGCCAGAAACTGTAAGCTGCTCACCTTGTGATTTCCCCAGAGTCGCGCCAGTCCGTTGGGGTCAACAACACGGAAGATCTTGGACTCTTTGTCTTCCCACTTGATGTACTGCTCATATCGACTGTCAGAGAGTAGCTGATAAACATAGTCCCACAGCAGCCTGCAATCTACACAGGAATCAGTCTCATTAGGGGTTAACATTAGCAGCAGCTAGGTCCTCCTGCAACCTCCCTACAGCCCCAGGTTGGTGAAATACATCGCATCTCTGCATGTTTAATCTTGGTCATTCTCATTGAGTACCTGCACACCGGGCCTCCTCATCTCCGTTCATCTTCAAAAACCCAACCATTATTTCATTATTTATCGCATCTGTCTCTGTTCCTCATTATTTGATGGACATTCACGATGGGCCTTGTGAAATTTCACAAATCAAACCAACTTCACACTAAGTCACGTATTCAGATACACTTTTGGGTAGCTGACCAAAGGCCAAAGAGGTAGCTTCAAGGAGCATTGGAAAGGAGGGAAAAGAGGTGGAGAATTTACAAAGGGAATTCCAGAGCTTAGGGTCCATGCCACTGAAGGAATGGCTGCCAACGATGACCAATTAAAACCGGGGAGAAGAAAGAGGCCAAAATGAGAGAGCATAGAGATCTAAGGGTGGTGGGGCTGGATGGCATCACAAACATTGAAAAAGCAAGACCATTGGGGGATTTCAAAACAAGGATGGAAGGGACTTGGTGGAATTCAGGTAGGAGAAAGGAGAGTTTTGGAGGACCTCAAGTTTAGAGAGGGTAGAATAGGAGAAACAAGTGTGTTGGAGTAGTCAGATCTGGATGTCACAAAGGTACAATTAAAGATTTTAGCAGCACATGAACTAAGGTAGGCCATGTTTTTGTGTGATGTTACAGGTCCTAGGAATGGCGCCATAGACAGGTCATTCACCTCAGGGTCAAACGTGAGACTAGGGTTGTGAATAACCTGATTCAATGTCTCAGAGACGCTAGGTGGCAGAATTTGTCAGGAGGAAGATACCGAAATACATTTGAAACCAAGAATCCCACCCCGAACCCAGCATTTTTCATTTCTATGGCGGAGAGTGGGGAGGCTGTGGGTGATGTTGGAAGGTGCTTCCTACGTATGTGGTTCCCAGGGCGGTTAAACGACAGACCGTCTTCACTCAAGTCAGATTTTAGAATCCCTGGCGTCTCAAACCTGGAATGTTTGGGGGTGGGGGCCAGCCGTAGGGATTAGAGGAGGAAATAGCAGGACTATTGTCAGAGCATTCCTCCTGGGCAGCCTTCCTCCTCACCTCTTCCCATGTCAGCTGACCTCTAATCCAGCCCCTCCCACCACCACCACCACCACCCCTCCCCCCCCTCCCACCACCCACCTCCCCCCTCCAACACTCTCCCAGACTGACCCAAAGCGGCGATTGTGGGTAATAATATTTACAGGTCCCGTTTGCTGAAATGGGAAATCTGCTGCCTCTGAGCATCTGATTCAGGAACAAAACCCAATGGCCTGATATTTTCTGATATTTAATTCAATAATGTGAATAATTCAAAATGTATTATAATGTGATTTGGATAAATGTGACATTATCCACTTTCATAGCAAATCACAGAATTTAGATCATTATCTGATGATGGATTGAGAAAGGGGGAAGGTTCATTGAGACCTGGGTATCCTTTTACATCAATCACTGAAAGTAAACATTGCAGGTACAGGGCCTTGGTGACACCACACCTGGAGCATTGTGTGCAGTTTTGATTTCCTTATCTAAGGAGGGTACAAAGGGAATGCAATGGAGATTTACCAGACTGATTCCTGGGATGGCAGGATTGACAAATGGAAAGAGGTTGAATCAATTAGAACTAAATTCACTGGAATTTAAAAGAATGAAATGGGATCTCATAGAAACCTATAAAATTCTAACAGGACTAGACAGGGTAAATGCAGGAAGAATGTTCTCCAAGGTCGAAAAATATGGGGTACATAGAACAGTACAGCACAGGAACAGGCCCTTCAGCCCATAATGTATGCGCTGACTATGATGGCATTGTAAAGTAATCCTATCTACCTGATCATGGTCCGTATCTCTGTTTCCTGCTGCTCCTGTATTTATCTAAATACCTCTGAAATGTTGCTATCATATTTGCTTCTACCACCACATCCTCTGGTAGGATGTTACAGGCACCTAGCACTCTCTGTGTAAACAAAAACTTACCTCGCACATCTCTTTTAAACTTCACACCTCTCCCCTTAAACTTTTGCCCCCTACTGTTTGACATTTACACCCTTGGGAGAAAGACTCAACTTTCAACGCTCAAACAAAAACAATTGAGTTTGCCCTACCTATCCTTATAGCTAATGGCAACATCCTGGTCAACCACTTTTGCACTCTCTCCAAAGTCTCCACATCCTTCCAATAGTGTGATGACCAGATCTACACACGATATTCCAAATGTAGCCGAACTAAAGTTTTTTTACAGCTGTAACCTGGTAGGCCATTCAGGAGTGAGAGGAGGAGAAATTTCTTCACCCAGAGAGTGGAGCACCTTGGTATTCTCTGCTGCAGAAAGGGAGGACAAAACAATGAGTGTTTCCAAGGAGTTAGATACAGTTCTTAGGGCTAGAGGGATCAAAGGTATAGGGAGAAAGTGGGACGGGGGACTGAGTTGGACGATCAGCCATGATCATATTGAATGGTGGTGCAGGCTTCAAGGGCTGAATGGCCTATTCCTGCTCCTATTTTTCTAATGTTTCTGTGTTTCACAGCAGATCATTCTGTGAGAGATGAACAAGTAATGTGAGCCCACAACAATGTTTTCTGTCAGTGATGACAGGATTCAAGAAAATCAGAAGCAGATGGAGCCAAAGCAGAAATGCGAATGAGAATAAGAGATTTGGAAAGAAATTGTGAGAAAGAAGGGGAGAAAATTGGAGACGGATCATTTAAATTGCTTTAAATGGGCTGGGAGCTTCACAGGTATAGCCAGCATTAGCTGTCCATCCCTAATTGGCTACCCCAGTGACTCGAGGGAAAAAAACACATTTACTTTCATACAGTACAATCCATCGTCTCAGGATGTCTCAAAGTGTCATTACTATTGCACAGTAGGAATTGTGGCAGACACTGTGCACAGCGAGATCCTGCCATCAGTAACACAAACAACCAAGTAAACTGATTTATAGAAATGGTTGCAGAATAAGAACTGGCCTCGCTCTTCAGTGTAAAGTGTCACGGGATCATTTGGATCCACCTGGGAGAGGAAATGGAGCATTCGATCCAAAACACTGCAGCTCCCTCACTGAGGTCACAGGCCAGACCCTGGGACCAAAACTTGTGGCCTCTGACTGAGAGAACGAGTTCCACAGAGCCACGGGTTACCAGGGCTGATGTTATTTATCCATTGTTGGCTGATCACCAAGCTCAATCATGCCTTTTGATGATTATTTTTTATTTCTGGGTGGCAGACACAGGTTGATAACACAGTGTGGAGCTGGAGGAACACAGCAGGCCAGGCAGCATCAGAGGAGCAGCAAAGCTGACGTTTCGGTTCGGGACACTTCTTCAGAAATGGGGGAGTTCCTCGGATGCTGCCTGGCCTGCTGTGTTCCTCAAGCTCCACACTGTGTTACCTCTGACTCCAGCATCGGCAGTTCTTACTATCACAGGTTGATTGGTGTTGGGAACGCTGGCCACGATCCTGAGCTGGGCCAATAGCTCAGAACGAGCAATGATCCTGGGCGTCCCTGGTTCTAATAGCTTGGTATTGGATCATGCTTTTGCAAAATTAATCCTCACTCTCACATAAACGCAAGAAACAAAGTTACTGACATCCTGTTCATCAAATGGACATGAAACAGCTCAGTATATTCGGAAGCCTCACTTGCTATCTTCCCTGTAGCTGGAGCTTGCTGTGCCGAAAGGAGTGAGCCTGTCTCGACGTCCCTCTTGCCTTCTGACCTGTTGGAGAGGTTCAGTGGTTCCTCCCAGTGACCGTTGCGGAAGGCCTCAGTGTTGTTCAGCTTACTGCTGGCAATCCACACCGGTGAGCTCACCGTACCGGCAGATCTTGGGCACTGCATGATGCTCACAATTCGAGGCATTGTGCTGTCTAAAAAGAAAAGAAACTTCAAATGCAGGCTCCTTCAAGGGCTCGGGAGAAGATGCGACAGTCATATGCCTCACTAGCTGGAGGATATTTGTAAATACTCACAGTAAAAAAGGTTCTGAAGTTTTGTTACATTAAAAGCTGACATATATTAAAAATAAGATAAAATAAACAGGGATAATTAGTTACTAATTAACCCTGGGATGGCAGGACTGATTTATGAACGGAGAATGGATCAATTGACACAATATTTGCTGGAGTTTAGAAGAATAAGGGGGATGTAATAGAGGCCTTCAAATTTCTAACACGACTGGACAGGCTAAATGTAGCGGCGGTGGGGGGGGGCGGGGAGGGGGATGTTCCTGATGACCGGGGAGTCCAGAACCGGGCCATCACATTTTCAGGATACGGGGTGAGTCATTTAGGAGTGAGATGCGGAGAAATAGCTTCACCCAGAGAGTGGTGAGCCTGTGGAATTCTCTACCACAGAAAGCAGCTGAGGCCAAAACATTGAATGTTTTCAAGGAAGAGTTAGACATAGTTCTTATGGCTAAAGGGTTCAAAGGGTATGGGGTGAAAATAGGAACTGATCATAATCAATGGTGCAGCAGACACAAAGGGCCAAATAGACTACTCCTGGTCCTGTTTTCTGTGTTTCTATGAGATCAACATGAACCCTAACATGGAAACATAGTTGAGATCTCGAGAAAGCATTTATAGGATCAAAATAATACTGATAAACAAACAAACTAAAAATGGCAATATGTCAGGGCTGCACATGTGGGAAGTTTTTTTTTTAACTTCACTCAGGGGATGTGGGCATTTATTACTCCTCCTTAGATGCCCCTTGAGAAGGTGGTGGTTAGCTGCCACCTTGAACCGCTGCAGCCCACCTGCTGTAGACCTACAGTGGCCTTAGGGAGGGAATTCCAGGACGTTGACCCAGCAACAGTGAAGGAACGGCAATATATTTCCAAGTCAGGATGGTGAGTGGTTTGGAGGGGAACTTGCACGGGGTGGTGTTCCCATGTACCTGCTGCCCTTGTCCTTCTAGATAGAAGTGGTCGTGGGTTTAGAAGGTAGGAGAGGGACCTGGTGAAAATGAACTAAGCCTGAAGATATAAGAATTAGGCGATCAGAGTAATGGTTAAACTTGCGAACAGTGATAACATAAAGTGTCAAAGAACTAATGAATTATAAAACAATAGGACAACTAAAAACAGATTAAACAATGGTGAAAGATGAATCAAACTGGACAGAAATGTGCACAGAGTCCAAACTTAAACAGGTGAACACTGCCAAAACACCAGGAAGACTCTGCACTGTAGCAGTAGCAACTTAAAGATGGCTGTGTGACCTGTTGACATACAGATCACTGGTTATAACCTGATCAGCCAGGGAAGGAAAGGGAAAAGGGATTCTGGGGGCTAGATTACAGAACGGCAGGAGAGAAAAAAGAGTGACATAACTAAGAGCAGGTTAGAAACAGAATTGCAGATGTTTGGAAAAAAGGCAAGGGGATGGTCATGCTAAAAGTGGTTACAACAGAATAGCTAATCGTGGAAAGGAAATCAGAGATAAAATATTAAGCAAAAGTTATGAAATTAGTAAAGGGGACAGACAGCAGTAAAAGGAGATGTAATTATCCCAAATTAATTGGGAATATGATGTAGTAAAGGGGTACAGCGTCTCCTTCCTTACCCTGTAGGTAAAAAGCCCAATGAGAGAGAGAGAGCACTGCTGGATCCAGTGAAGAAAATTGAACCTGAAGAGATAAGAGAAGTCTTTGTAGCGAAACATCTAGGCAATAGCAATCATAACAATCACAACACAAGGAGGTTTAACATAAAGACAGAGAAAGACCAAGCCAACACCAATAAATTGTCGGGGAGGGGCCTGATTATAGGAGGTTGAGAATGAAATGAGAGAAATAATTTATAAAGATATACTCCCAAACACAGGCAGGAGAGCAGTGTGCAGAATATTTAACATAGTAGTTATTAGCGGCCAAAGAAAAAAAAACCTCACTAAAAATGAAGACCAGACTACCCAGGTATAATACACCATGGATAAATAACAAAATATGTGAAATTGAAACTACAGGAAAAAAGACTGACAACACAGGAGAAGATAACAAAAGGATATTTGAGAAGGTTAGAAAAGAAGTCAAGAAATCTATTAAGAAGACACAACGCAACTACAAAATTAAATAACTATCAATATTAAAAGTATTTGTAATGAGTTCCGTAGATATATATACACATGATAAAAATAAAACTAGGATACAGATAGGCTCACTAAAGCTACACATGACAAAACATTCAGTTAGTGGTAGAGAAATGACAAAAATATTAAATAATTGAGAAAAGACAAAGATTTCCATTCACTTGGTGCTTTCCATGACCAATGGACTTTGCAGCCAATAAAGTAGAGCTGCTATTCGAAGGTAGAAAATATGACAGCCAATTTGCAAATAGAAAGCTCCCACAAACAACCACGTGACACTGAGCAGACAATCTGTCTTTTGTGGTGTTGATTAAAAAGGAAAATACTGGTGACAGCATCAGTGGTAATATTCCTGTTATTCTTTGAAATGGAAGCCCTCATGCTCACCCAAGCTGGAAGATGGGAGCTCACCCAAATGTACAGCACCCCCTCAGTACTGCACCAGAGCAATGACAACTTTGTTTTTTGTCCCCAGGCCCTGCAGTGAACCCAGCGAGTTAAGTGCAAGTGTGCTACTGACAGAGTTACAGAGACTAACATTTTGGATGTGACTTTAGAAGGAACAATTTTAAAAAAAAATTATAGACATTTAATGTAGAAAGGGACAAAATAGTAGACGAGAAATCAAATCTAAGACACTGGTTCTGCTGAATTGTACATAGCACATTAAATCAAGACACAACAGGAGCATCATTACATACATTTATTACTAAATCAGTAAAGCATCTGTGCCAGAGTGACCTCTAATATGAAATTTTTAGACGTAGAAAGCGAGATAAAACAAGTTTTAAGTCAGCTAAATACTAGTGCTTGGAAAATCATGGAATCCATGAATAAAAGATGTATTCAAGAAAATATCCTGGAGCTGAATAGTAATGACGAATAGTCAACACACATTGTGCTTAACTTAATTTACTGAAAGAATGAACAAGGCTAATGTTGAATACATGATAGATGAGGATTTTCAAAAATCATTTAATGGTAAGCTGGTAACTGGAATGAGCACATGTGGAATAAGTGAACAAGTAGCAGAATAGATTGCAAGCTGACTATTGAACAGATAACAGTGAAGGAGAGTCAAAAGCAGTTACTGTGATAGGTTTAGTTAATGTAGATAAGAAATGCCACAAAGTACAGGAAGATATTAATAACTTCAGAATGGACATGTAACTGGCAAATGAAAACAAACATAGCTATATGTGAGGTTATACATTTTGATATCAAGAGTAAGAAGGCTGTGCATTCTTTAAGAAATATGTTTCTAAATGGGAGAGAGGGGAATGAGGCATCTAAGGGAACACAACGTATTCAAAAAAAAACAACCCCCAAAGAACTGCAGGTGCTGGAAATCAGAAGTTGCTGGAAAAACTCAGCAGGTCTGGCAGCATCTGGAGAGAAATCAGAATTAACATTTTGGGTATTGACACTTCTTCAGGACTAAAAACAAAAGTTACTCAGGTCTTTTCTAGAGACAAAGACTTGAAAAGCACAGAGGTTTATGTTGTGTTCTGTGTGGAGCCTTGGTTAAACCACACTTAAAACACTGGAAACAGCTCAGGTTTCCATAATCGAAAGAGGATATAGAGCATTATACCCAGAATATTGTACCCAGCAGGAAACAATGAACGGGTTGAAACTCTTTTCTCTAGGGAATAGAAGGTGCTGGGATGAGCTGCTAAATTGAAGATTTAAAGGGTCTGATGGAATAGGAAAGGCCAGAACTAGAATCCTTAAATATTAGATAGTCACTAACAGCTCTAATAGGAATTTGGGAGAAATATCTTTACCAAAGAGCATTGAGAATGTGGAACACACAACCACGGAGATTGGTCAATATAAGTATATAGATGCTTTTAAGTATCAGCTAGATGAAAGACAAAGGGACTGAAGAAGATATTGATGGGAATAGATGAATAGAATGTGATATGAAGCATAAGCACTGGATGGGCTGGTTGCTGTGCTGTAAATATTTTGTAACCAGAAACTCTTTATAGAAATTGTTTCCCACTGGGGACATGTTCATACAGGGAATCAAAATCCCTTTGATGTTGGTAAAAACCCTTCTATATTGGGACTTTTACCATCATGCATCTCTTTAAGATAACGAGATGAGAAGAAATAGGAACAGGATCACACCATTTGGCCCCTTGAGCCTGCTCCATCAATCAATAGGATCATGGCTGATCTGGCATTCGTCATGTCCACTTTCCTGTATCTTTCCCATAACCCTCAATTCCCCAACTGATCAAGAATCTTATTATCTCAGCCTTAAATATACACAAGGAGTTCCAAAGAATCTCAACCCGCCGAGAAGAAATTTCTCCTCACCTCCGTCTCGGATTGGCACCTTCAATTCTGAGACTATTCCCTCTGGTTCTAGACTTTCCCATGAAGGGATACTTCCGCTCAGCTAAGAATCCTATATGTTACAATAAGATCCCTCTCATTCTTCTAAACTCCAGTGAGTAGAGTCCCAACTCGATTAATCTTTGCTCATAAGACAAGCCCCCCCAAACCAGAGATCATCGAGATGAACATTCTCTGAACTGCCTCCATGAAATAATATTTTTCCTTCAATAAGGGAACCAAAACGGCTCTCAAAACTCCAGATGCGGTCTCACCAGCACCTTGTACAGTTGCACTAAGAATTCCCTACTCTTATACACAAACCTCCTTGAAATACAGTACTGTACTGTGCTAACTTTCTGTATTTTGTGTACAGTACCTCCAAGTCCCTTCGTGTTGCAGCTTTCTCCAATTAGATAACATTCTGTTCTTTTGCTCTCCCTTCCAAAATGAACAACTTCACATTTTCTCACATTATACTCCATTTGCCAACGTTTTGCCCACTTACTTAACCTATCAATATCACTCTGTAAACTGTCTGTATCCCCTTCACAACCTGCCTTTCCACCTATTTTTGCATCGTCTATAAATTTAACTCCAAACATTCACTTCCGTCCTCCAAATCATTGACATAGATTGTAAACAGTTGATCCCTGTGGAACTGCACTGGTCACAGGTCACCAACCTGAATAAAGAGCCCCTTATCCCTGCGTGTTGTTTCCTGCCCATGAGCCAATTCTCTATCCATGCCAATACATTACCACCAACGCTGTGGGCTCTTATCTTATGAATTAACCTATTGTGAGGTACTTTATTGAATGCCTTCTGGAAGACCAAATACAACACATCTACTGGTTCCCTTCTATCTACTATGGTTGAGACTTCCATGGTAAACACTAAAATTAATTAGACGTGATTTCCCTTTCATGAAGCCATGCTGACTGCTTGATTAGATTATGATTTTACAAATGTTTTGCTATCACTTTCTTAACAATCAATTCCAATACTTCTCCAATGATAAATGTTAGGCTATTTGGCCTAAAGTCACTGTTTTCTCTGCCTCCCCATCTTTTTGAATAGGGCTGTCACATTGCCATTTCCCAATCCTTCTCAGAATCCAAGGATTTTCGGAAGATTACATCCACTACCTGTAGCTACTTCTTTTAGGATCCCAGGATGCAAGTAACCTGGGCTGGGGGGATATCTGTCTTTAGCTCCAGGAGTTTGTCTAATACTGTTTCTTTAATGATGGTGACAGCACTTAATTCTTCCCTTGTATTATTTAATATTGATGGCATGTTCAAAGTATCTCCCACCATAAAGACTGATGCAAAATCTGTTTAACTCCTCTGCCATTTCCTTTGTTCCCCATAACCATCTCCCCAGATTCATTTCTAACAGGTTTCTGTTCACTTTGACCTCTCTCTTTTTCATATATATTTTAAGAAGCTCTAATTGTCAGTTTTAATATTACTTGCTAGGTTGTCCTCACAGTTCATTTTGTCTCTCTTTATCATCTTTTCAGTTCTTCTTTGCTGGATTCTGAGTTTATCCCAATCTTCAGAGTTTTTGCTGACTTTTGCCTCCTTATATGATCTTTTTTCTTCAATTTTATCTTCTCCTTAGTTAACCATGATTAGTTTATCCCTCTCTTAGAACCTTTTATTAGGAAAATCTAACCATCATGGATCGCTTTTACTTAGACAGTCTCACTGTCAGGATCCCTTCTCACAAGACAGTCTCACTATTGAGGATGTGTTTATAGAGATATCTCACCATCAAGAGCCCTATTACAGAGGGAGATGGAACATTATAGAGAACATACACAGCAAGGTACTAAATTGAAAAGCAGAACCTCAAAGATCATAATTTCTGGATTATTACTGAGCTGCATATAAATTGACAAGTTAGAGAAATGAGTATATGACTGAAAGACTGCTGGGGAGAAGCAAGTGCTGGTACAGGGGAAAGTGTGGGTTATATACGTGGGAGGCAATGGCCTAGTGGTATTATCGCTGGACTGTTAATTCAGAGACCCAGCTAATGTTCTGCGGATGGTGGAATATGAATTCAATTAATATCTGGAATTAAGAGTCTAATGTTGACCACGATTGTTGGGAAAAACCCACCTGATTTAAGGAAGAAGACTGCCATCCTAACCTGGGCTGGCCTACATGTGACTTCTGACTCTCAGCAATGTGGTTGACTCTTAACTGCCCCTGCAGTAAATGCTGGCCAGCTAACGAAGCCCTCATCACATGAATGAATAAAAAAGAATTCTTGGGCCAGTGTTCTTGTGAATCACATACCTAGGGGAGTAGAAAGGGCTTTAAATTAAATAGTGGAGGCCAGGAATCAAATTTAGAAAGATGGGCTATATCAAAGACCAGAGGCAAAGTCAGAGAGGAAAATAGCAATACGGGAACGAGGCTCAGAGAACAGTAAAGAGGGGCAGAGAGAGTACACAAATACTCAAGACTGGATAATAGAAGAATAACAAAAAGACTAAAGGCTCAATATCTGAATGTGTTTAAAATTCAGGGATGTGGGGAGAAGCAGTGGGCACCATTGGCTGGGAGAGCAATTTCTCCCTCCACAGATAGCAGGAATTGCAGATGCTGGAGAATCTGAGATAACAAGGTGTAGAGCTGGATGAACACAGTAGGCCAGGCAGCATCAGAGGAGCAGGAAGGCTGACGTTTCGGGCCTAGACTGAAGAAGGGTCTAGGCCCGAAACGTCAGCTTTCCTGCTCCTATGATGCTGCTTGGCCTGCTGAGTTCATCCAGCTCTATACCTTGTTGTCTCCCTCCACAGATGTTGCCAGATATGCTGAGGTTCTGCAGCACTTTCCAGACCCTGCTGTATTTCACCCAGATACAACTCATACAGAGGCCACCTGCAGATGATGCAAAGAGCGAGCATTCGCAAAGTGAGAGCTGTTCCTATTGTTAAGTGATGGAGAGCAGAAACCAGTCTCTAAGATGGTGCTGCAGGAAGTCTGTGTTCAGGAAAAGTATCTTCAAAATTCTTTAATAAAATTTAATGCGCAGTATTGATAAATGGAGGCTGGTTGGTTCCACTCTCAGCCTCTCCCACCCCCACACTCCTGGTGCAGGCGTCTCCCCTCACTCCCACTCCTGGCCTTTGCCCCCTGCTCCCACCGTGGGCCCGCACCCTGCCCCCTGCTCCCACCACGGGCCCGGCCTTTGCCCCCTGCTCCCCCCACGGGCCCGGCCTTTGCCCCCTGCCCCCACCCCGGGCCCGGCCTTTGCCCCCTGCCCCCCCCCCACGGGCCCATACTCTGCCCCCTGCTCCTGTCGGTGGCACTGCTGCTGGTGGTTCCTGCAGCCTGTCCCATCCTGGCAGGCTGACATCACAGGCCATGTCTGTGCCAAAGTAGCAGCCATTTTGGCATTATAGATAACCGCTTCAATTCTGCTTTTGTACAAAGAGTCAGCAGGAAACTATCCGCTAACTCCATGTGTGGATGTAAATGACCGTTTGGTTTCGGTAAGGGTCAGTTGGTTGGTTGGTGCAGTGTTGAAGTGACCGTGCCCTTTGGGACATACCTGTGTGAACCTGGAACCTATGAAATGGCGCCATCTCTTCCCTTCCATCCATTGTGGTTCCAATCGATCGCACTTGAGACCGAGCTTGGAAGGTGGTCCCGTGGGATAGCGCAGAGATGTTAGAAACGTGTCCAGGCAGTTGGAATATTGTAGATGGCTCGTGGGTAACTAAAAGATTCAAGTGCAAGAGGTTATGTCTGGTCAGTGACTGCAGCACTATTTATAAATACAATTTATAAACACGTTATAAACATAATTTATAAATACAATAACTTCAAAGAAGCAAACAGTTCTTGGTTCCAAGATAATAATTAATTAACATTTCATATTGAAATGTCCATCTTAACCCAGTGAATGAACAACAACCATAAACTGTTTGCCCAGCAAAGCTCAACAGGTGGAATGACTGAGCCAATGGAAACTAGCTGAAATGTTCCAGATCTGCTCAGTGGTTAGCACTGCTGTCTCACAGCGCCAGGAGCGCAGGTTCGATTCCACACTCAGGCGACTCTCTGTGTGGAGTTTGCACATTCTCCCCGTGTCTGCGTGGGTTTCCTCCGGGTGCTCCGGTTTCCTCCCACAGTCCAAAGGTTTGGCATGCTTGCCTTCATTGCTCAGTCCTTTGAGTATAGGAGTTGGGAAGTCATGTTGAGCTTACACAGGATATTGGTGAGGTCTCTTCTGGAATACGGTGTCCAGTTATGGTCACCCTGTTATAGAAGAATGTTGTTGCAATGGTAACATGGTGGCTCAGTGGTTAGCACTGCTGCATCACAGCTCCAGGGACCCAGGCTCAATTCTACTCTCAGGCGACTGTCTGTGTGGAGTTGGCACATTCTCCTTGTGTTTGCATGGGTCTCCTCTGGGTTGGTGCTCCAGTTTCCTCCCACAGTCCAAAGACGTGCAGGTTAGGTGGATTAGCCATGGTGAATGCAGAGTTACAGGGATAGGGTGGGGGGGGTTGGGTCTGGGTGGGATGCTCTTCAAAGGGTCAGTGTGGACCTGATGGGCCAAATGGCCTACTTCCACACTGTAAGGATTCCATGATTCTACGATTAAGCTGGAGAGGGTTCAGAAGAGATTTACAAGGATGTTGCCGGGTATGGAAGGTTTGAGGTATAAAGAAAGGCTGGAACTTTTTTTCACTGGAGCATAGGAGTTTGAGAGGTGACCTGTTAGAAGTTTATAAAATAATCAGAGGTATAGTTGAGTTGATGGCCAGTGTCTTTTCCCTAGGATGGGGGATTTCAAGACTAGGGGACACATTTTTAAGGTGAGAGGAGAGAGATTTAAAAAACACATGAGAGACAAATTTTTTTACACAGAGGGTGGTTCATATGTGGAATGAACTTCCTGAAGAAGCGGTGCATGTGGATACATTTACAACATTTAAAAGACATTTGGATAAGTACATCAATAGGAAAGGTTTGGAGGGATATCAGCCAAGAGCAGGCAGGGACTATTTTGGTTTGGGATTATGTTTGGCATGGACTAGTTGGACCGAGGGTCTGTTTCTTGCTGTATGACTATGTGCAGGTTAGGTAGACTGGCCATGCTAAATTGCACATAGTGTCCAGGGAAGTGCAGGCTAGGTGGATTAGACATAGAGGGTGTAGCCTCAAAATAAGGGGAAGCAGATTTAGGACTGAGTTGAGGAGGAACTTCTTCACCCAAAGGGTTGTGAATCTGTGGAATTCCCTGCCCAGTGAAGCAGTTGAGGCTACCTTGTTGAATGTTTTTAAGGCAAAGATAGATTTTTGAACAGTAAAGGAGATAAGGGATATGGTGAGTGGGCGGGTAAGTGGAGCTGAGTCCATGGAAAGATTAGCCATGATCTTATTGTATGGCGGAGCAGGCTTGATGGCCAGATGGCCTACTCCTGCCCCTATTTCTGATGTTCTTATGATCCAGAGGTGACAACCAGTTCTGAAGCGGATTGCAGTTTGAAAAGAAGCAGCAGTAAATGAACAGACTGAGATAAAAAACTATTGACCTACGTTCTCTTTTTAAACTTCCCCACTCTCCTGACAATTGAGACTATTTTATGCACTTTTTTCCACATAATGTAGACATCAAATTGTCAAAGAACTGTCAAACTACCAAAGAACTCCTGAGTGTTTAAATCATTACGGGTTTACCTGTGGATCTCCAGTATGTAGCTACCTACAACATACAATGTATCAAATCTAAGTGTGTTAAATTTCATGTCCCATTCATCCAGGTGAGTTATCACATTCAAGTAGGTACTGGCAGAAAGAGTATTGTAAGCAGATTCACTCATAACTTTCAAAAGGGAATTACATAATATTTATAAAAGAAAAATTACAAGGCTATTCTTATAAAAACTCTGTGCTGTTAACAAAAGCACTAGGAATCAGTCAGTATATCTTACATTGTTCTCCTTGTTGTTTCAGTCATTTTGTAACAACAGTCATTTTGTAACAACAGTCTATGTTAGTGTTTAACCTTGACAATGTGCAATATATCACTTTATTCCCAATTCCTTTAGATACCCTGGCTAACTGATCCTCACATGTTGAATTTTGACAGGGACTTCTACAGTGTCACACTTTCTGTGCAATGGAAAACCTCTCCCGATTTCTGCCTTAAATCAAATGGCCTGAATTTCTGCTGACTCAGGATGACTTGGGGGCAGGACCCAATTCCAAGATTCACGCCAGCATTCCCCTTTCCTGTAATGTTTGAGTGTAGGACAAGGGTGAAGACAGGCCACCACCACCAGCCCTTCCTCTGTGGGAGCATCCACATGATGTTCTGCAGAAATTCACCAAAGATCCTCAGACAGCACCTTCCAAACCCATAACCACTTCCATCTAGAAGGACAAGGGCAGCAGATACATGGAAACACCACCCCGTGCAAGTTCCCCTCCAAGTCACTCACCATCCTGATTTGGAAATACACTGCTGTTCCTTCACTGTCGCTGGGTCAAAATCCTGGAATTCCCTCCCTAATAGCATTGTGGGTCAACCCACAGCAGGAGGACTGCAGCGGTTCGAAAATGCAGCTCACCACCACCTTCTCAAGGGGCAACTAGGAATGGGCAATAAATGCTGGATAGCCAATGATGCCCACATCAATTTTTAACAAGACAGCTTAGAAGCAGCTTTTCAGCACTTGCTGGTTCCATTGCATGAGTAAACATTTTAACAATCCCCATGAGTCTGTCTCTTTCACTCTCTGGACTCAGTTCACGGCCTGACAGAAGAGGGGTACCCCAGTTACAAGTGGCTTTGAAATGAACCACAGACTGAAATTGTTTAAAACGTTCAATTTAAAAGATCGATAGATATTTCGACTGCAACATTTTATTGTAAGGCACAGAATTTCCTTCATGGCAAAAATGGCAGAAGTTCTCGGAAATCCCAGGGAATGCCCCTGTACAGGGCATTTTTCATCTTCACGGGGCTGGGAGTGGAGTCAGCTGGGGATTTGGCTGTGCAGCCTCTAGTCCTGGGTGCATTTGATGAGGCAAGTGTCTGTACACCAGAGTGTGCAGATCAGGACCAGGTAAGAGCAGGTCAGGACCTCATTTGTATAACTAGGTACTTTTTTTTAGATCCGGTCCCAGGACACCTTTGGAAGAAGTGGAGTATGGAATCCTTATAGCAACAGATAAGGTAACCCTTTGAGAGATGCCAGGTGCCCTTTAAGACTATGTGGAAAAAAGTGCATAAAATAATGTAGACATCAAATTGTCAAAGAACTGTCAAACTACGAAAGAACTATCACACCACAGAAGAACTGCCAAACTGGTGAAGAGACCAGTCAAAGCTCCTGGTCTTTTAATCTTTTTCAAAAAAAAGTGTACAGAGTTAAAAATAAATAGTTTCCTGTTTCAATGTGATTACTACCAACTTGAGGATTTGCATTACTGGATTAGTACCGTCTAAAATGATTTTTCATATGACAGTGGGGTGATTTCGATTCCATAATTTGATAGGCACAAGTAGTTTTAGACTCTTTGATGTGTAACTTTGAATTTCAATTCTCGTTGTAGTTGAATTCAATTTTGTTTTTATGAAGTGAAGGAATTTGAGTTTAGTAAATGTATTTTAAACGAGCAGGAGTGTTTTTGCTAATATAGTGAAGTCTGAAATATATTTTGAGTAATATAAATTTACTTTCTTTTAAATTAGTACATGACACAAGAATAAGGGGGAAGGCAAATGATGAGGATAATACAAAGAGTTTGCTGAGGATGTAGACAGGTTAGGTTCGTACTTATCAACTGCAGCTCTGCCTTCAACACCACAATTCCATCCAAACTAATCTGCAAACTCCGAGACCTGGGACTCTGCTCCACCCTCTGCAATTGGATCTTCAACTTCCTGACCCGTAGACCGCAATCAGTAAGAATAGGCGATAACATCTCCCCCACCACAATCCTCAACACCAGTGCCCCACAAGGCTGAATATTCAGCCCCTTACTATACTCCCTATACACTCATGACTCTGTGCTCAAGCTTTGTCATAACTCTGTCTACAAGTTCGCTGACAACATGACTGTTGTAGGCCAGATCTCAAGCAAAGATGAGACAAAATACAGGAAAGAGATACAGTGCTTAGCAGCATGGTGTAAGGATAACAATCTTGCCCTCAACATCAGCAAAATGAAGGAGCTGGTCATTAACTTCAGGAAGCAGAGTGGAGGGCATGCCCCTGTCTGCATCAACGGTGCTGAGCTGGAGGTGGTCGACAGCATCAAGTTCCTGGGAGTGACGATCACCAACAATCTGTCCTCGTCCGTCCAAATCAATGCAAGGGTCAAGAAGGCACAACAATGCTTCTACTTTCTCAGGAGGCTAAGGAAATTCACCATGTCCACAGTGACTCTTACCAATTTTGATTGACGCACAATAGAAAACATCCTATCTGTGTGTCACAGCTTGGTACGGCAACTGCTCTGCTCAGGACCGTAAGAAACTACAGAGAGTTGTGAACACAGCCCAGAACATCATGCAAGCCAACCTTCCATCCAGTGCCTCAGGAAGGCAACCTACATCATCGAAGACTCCTCCCACCCCAGTTACAATCTCTTCCAACCTCTTCTGCAGGCAGAAGATACAGAAGCTTAAACACACGAAACAAAAGGTTCAAGAACAGCTTCTTCCCCACTGTTATTAGATTTCTGAACCTCAACTTTTAA